GCACAGTCTCTTTGTTCCCAAGAGTTTTCTAGCAGGTGTGCTGCTGGCCGCATGTTCTTTGTGTCCCTTTTTTTATGAGTTCTGTCCCCTTTTTTCCTTTGCTGTCTTTGTATTTTTCTAGTCCTAGCTCCTCCTCCCCACTCTGCATAGTTTTCACGGGAGCTTCGCTTTCTTACTGTTGTCCAGACATCTAAGTGTGGCACCCAGACTCAGGTTCAAAACCCAGGCTGACTTGATTTCTGCTGGATGATTTCCCCGCTCTGTGAAGACCACCTTCTGTGATTTTCAGTCTCAGAGAAGACAATAGGGCACAATCAGACACATTACTGGACAAACTGCCAAATGTGTTCCTGTTACAGCTCACTGGAATGGAGCGTGCCTCCGAGGAAAACAAGCCCAGTGGCATTTGTATTCTGAGCAGGCGTCTGTCTGTGTTTGTGACCTTTATGTTGTGATGTGTGTGAGCTGCTGTCTAGAACTGGAGACATGGGGGGAATATGTCACCTATGCCCCCTCTCCTGAAGTGTTTCATGCCTCTGAGGCTCTTCAGAAGTCAACAGAGCGGAGACGATAAGTGATTAGAAGCACATTTGGGATACATTTTTGGATCTAATTACAATTGTGCCTTTTTCCCATTCTGTTTTGCTTTTGCTCTGTGGTTAGAACACACCATATGAACATTTGCAGAGTGCCGTGTTAGCAATGTGTAATGGTTACTAAAACTTCTGGGTATAAATATTGACAGCAGTTACTTATCTGTTAGACTTTGATTACAAGGAATAAGTTTGCTGGGCCAGCATCCCCAAGTATACAAAAGCACCTTCTTGTGGTAGGCAAAAGGCTAAAGATGAACCATTTGGGGAAACTTTAGTAGTTGTGCACTTGATACTTGGTACCAATCCATTAAAGAGTGGAGACTCCTTCCTGCTAGTCTTCTGTCCCCATCACACACACGCGTGTACATGCGCGCACACACACACACACACACACACACACACACACACTATAGTGCTACCTTCATCATCACTGGAAATGAACTTTTTATAACCTTTAAGTGTTTTAGATGTGTATCTATCATATGTCATATAATATTGTCTGTCTTAACCAGTAACAGGTGTTAACTATGTACCATACAAGATGCATATTTTCTGTGGTGAAGAAAGTGAGTTTACCACGTACTGCATTTTTAAATTCCTCTTGGTCTATCTTATAGGCAAGCTTTAACATACTGACAATTTAGTGAGATACCAGCATCTACATAATAAAAAACATAATGCCAAGAACTGGTTAAGTTGAGCTTATTTTCCAAAAGCAAGGTACTCAGAGTTATGGACTAAGGCAAAGTTTCTAATCTCTTAACCACCACACCCCCTTCTCTTCTGAGATCATTTTGAGTTTAGAGCTTTTGCCATGTACTCTACAATCTACCTGTGTAAAAATTAGACAAGCAAGACCAAACCAATGAGATACCTATTTATATTTCCTTTTTTTCTTTTTATAACACTTAAGAATCTGAGAGCCAAAGAGTCCAGATAATTATTCAGATATTGTAAATTATTTATCAATGTACTATCTTTTTTCTGAGTGATTGGCATGCGTACCACAGTAGTGAATCAAAGAGATAGGATGTGTGATATAAGCCTGTAATCCTGAAACTTGGGAGGCCAGGCAAAAGAAACACCGTAAATTCAAGGCCACCTTGGTCTAATTTGAGAATTTTGAACTAACTGGAAGTACAGAGTGGGACTCCATAATAATAATAATAATAATAATAATAACAGTAACAATAATAAACAGCTACAGTAATACACATATACCCTTTTGGTTGTATTAAAGTCTAAGTTGCCGTCGGAAAGTTCCAGTAGTTAAAGAAGAAGTTTCTTTTGATTTTTCTATTACACGATAGTCTAGCAAAGGGCTCAGAGTGATCAGATGGCTGCTTGTCCTGTGGACATTCAGGAGCAAAGGTTAATGTAATAGAACGGTCCAACATGTCCCTTCCATTGTTGACCAAGATTACAACCTCATCTGTTGGCATTTCAGTGCAGGAAAGAATGCACACAGATTTTTAACAAATCTTATTTTGCCCAATAGTTGTATGTATTTTTTATCCTCATGTCCTATTGACCTGAACTTATACACATGGTCATCAATGTCAGCAAGAAGTTGTGGCAGCTGTGTTGTTACTGTCATGTGTCTGTTGCTAAGAGGGGAGCAGGAGAGTGTGGGACCATAAGACCATGGGCCTTCTCTGATGCAGATAGATGCTTGCTGAAGTAAGAAGAAGGGACTCAACAGGTGTGCTAATAGAGAAGAATTTCTAGAGAAAGGGTTTTAAAGAAAGCTTCAAGATTGGAATTGATGATTTTAGTAAAAGACAAGAGAGCAAAAATTTTGGGAGAAAACCCCCAGTTCTTCTGGAATTGTCCATGATTGATTTACGAATTGAAATCTGTTTACTTATTTCTTCATTATTGATTTACTATTGTATGAAAGTCAGAGGACAACTTTGGGGAGTCCGTTCTGTAGGTCCTAGGACTCAACTTAGTTAGGCTGTGTGCCAAGCTCTACCCACTGAGCTATCTTGCTGCCCAAATGTGGTGTTTTTAGGGTGAACCAGGTTGTGGTTCTTACAGAAAGTTCACTAAATAACAGACTGATGCGTGTAGGTCATACTAAAGGACTCTAATTCTACCGTCCAGTTATGACACTGATCGATCTATCAATTGATTGATTGATCAATTTATAATTTGGTTAACCTTTCAGAGGCTCCTGCTTCTTTTATAGAAAATATGAGAAAATGATACTGCTCAGTGTTCTGAAATTATGTGAAATTACGGAAATGACTTACAACGAGTTTGTAAGCACTGAATTACATTAGCAGCGATCACTGCTGATAATACTATTGAATTCAAGAAGGGAGAAAGCTTTTTCCTACAGAAATGATTTCACTGGAGTCATTGAAGGGGTGATGGGAGCTGATAAAAGCCTACTGTGAGCTTAGCTACAGACATGAACATGGGCAACTAGAGCTGGAAAATGTTCCAAAGTAACCAAGACACAAAATTCAATTTCCTAACTGGAGTGGGGTCATAGGATTAAACAGAAAAAAGGTACAAATGTGGCTGAAATGAAGCAATTTTTAAATTTGTCTTCTTAGTTATTAATACATTACTGCTATTTGTAGAAAAATGTATCTTTATCTTGTCATTGAGTTATTTGTCCATTTACTTATGCATGCATTTAGTTTGGGGGTTGGCAGTTGGGCACAGCCCCTTCCATGCCAGGTGTGAATCCTGTTACAAAACTATACCTGTAGCCTATAGAAAGGTTGAAAAGCAGAAGGAAAAAAGTAAAAAACAAAAATCACCCATCCTTCTCCCACTCGAAGAACAGTGGTGATGTTTTGTTATCTTTTTTATATGCATAAGTATGTACATGAACTTAAATTATCTTAAATGATTTTCGGGGGGGAGTTAATAACGTTTCTACTACATGGGCCCAGAAAAAGAATCTTTAGACTGAAATTATGTGTGTGTCTCTGTGTGTCTGTGTCTATATGCACATGGCCACCTGAGGCCAAAGACAGCTAACTCCTGAACTGACTAAGCATTGTAAGAGTCTCTTTCTTTTCTTTCAACTCAAGCATGAGCTTCATCGATGGTAATAATCACACAGCACTTAATGTCAAAAGTTGAACATACCAGGTGATTCTTAGACATTGGAGTTTATTACAGACCTTGCATGGATTTGCTATAAACCAAGGTCCCTTGTCACAGGAAAGTTCTCATCTTCAATATAAACAAGACCTTTTTAAGTTCACAGAATTTCAGCGGATTCCTAGATTCCCTGAAGCCCATCTGTAGCCCTCCAAGGATCCAGGGTACCTTCCCCACCGCTAGAACAAGCTTAAGCATCTGTTTATAAGACTTCCTTCTGATTACCCGACAGGGGTCACTGCTGTAAAGTAAACTTCCTTGTGTTCTCAATTATGTTTTGTTTTTTTTTCTGTTCTATGATAGAGCAAGGGATACTGCGGGGTGGGGGTGGGGCACCTATGGGCAGAGTCATGAATCAAAACCAGAATGGTGGCATTAATGCCTTTTGGTTTTGACAGCCTACAAATTTTCTCAGCTATAACCTTTGGAGTGGTCTTAAGGAAGACAATTGGATCTTTTGAACTGAAAGAATGTGTCACAATTTGGCTTAGTATAATCCATTTTTATCCCTTTCTCATGTTTGGATTTCTATTACCATCTGTGAAATGTGTACAGCGAGGCCGTGGGGAAGGTCTTCTACCTGATTCTTTTCTGTGCTGTGTGGAAGGTACCGCAGACAGTCAATAACAATCAATAGTAATTGTAGTCTAGCCCAGAGACTGGAGTCAGAAGCTGGGGTGGGCATAGGTCCAGGGTACTTTTCATCAATTTTATTTTGCTGGTTTTTCCTGTAATTTTAAGATTAAACTGTAAGTTTTATTTGCTTATGAGAACAAATAGTCACTTTTTCTTTTCCATTTTTTTTTGAGAGGTAATATGTAATCCCAGGTGTTTTCTCTCTGTTAATGAGAAAAATGTCTTTTTGCTTCAGACTGAATGAGCAGAGAGGGAAGGGGACAGGAGATTTGCATGGTTAAATGGCTGAGGGCCTTTCCTTGTGGAAGTAATATTCCCCTGTGGTCAATTACTTCCACGCAGACATCTGGATGTTTACCCTAGAAGTGTGCAGATGTCAACTTGTTCTGTATCGAACTTGAAAATGTGGTGATAACTTGACTTTGATTTGAGTAAACATAAAATATCTAGTATTTAAAGTCAGAAGTTCACTGTGGGAGAGGGTTTAGACCGACATTTATTAAAAACAATAGTGCCTTGTAAAAGAAATTGGAACCATCCCTAAAGAAATAGACACTCAAATAAAGTAAACAAAGCTACAGTTATGTTGTCTTAAGCCAATAGCAGAGTGTGATAATGACATTTATCTCTTCCTTGAACTTGCAGAGGCGGGCGCTGAGGACATTGACGTTCTTCCCAATGGTCTGGCTTTCTTTAGTGTGGTGAGTACCATTTGCCTGTCCCACAGACAGCCAGGAACAGACCTGCTCGGCCATATTTTTAAGTCCATAGAGTGGAAACAGATTTTAAAGTCCTCACCTCCCCAAGTAAATTCTGAGAAAAAGACAGGTCAGGTTGGCTTGAGAATTGTCCTTAAGCTTTTCTGAGTGTAGAGATGAACGGTCTTTGTAAACTGATCAGTTGCTTTTTGTCTCCTGTTGCACAACCTATTCTATAGAGAAAGTTCCAGGGTGGCCAGGGCTATACAGAGAAACCCTGACTTGAAAAATAAAAATAAAGCAAATGTTTAAAGCAGAGGAGTACTGGAATAATTGAAGGTGTTACTATGATTCTGAATAGTTATCACTCTCTCATAGTGTTGCCTCATAATGGAAACACATTACTGTTGAGAGATGTTAAGGGAAGAAAGAAGATTATTAACTGCCTACATGGATTGTTATGAAGTACTGAAACAGCTCCAACTTATTCAGCCTATTGGGCCAGGCAGCGTGCATGTAGGCAATCGTAGATAGATGTTAAAAATTAACAATTTCTTCTTAAGTCCATTTTTGTGCATAACAAGTCTTTCTGTTTTTATTGTGCCCTTAAATTTACATAAGGGAGGGTCAGGAAGCCTGGATGCCTAAGGCATTGTTGGTATGGAAGACAGTCTTTGGGTGAGGTGAGAGATGGGTATGGGAGGTGGGAAGGGTGAGAAAGTCCTGTCACTAAAGGCCTTCCAGACATTTAAGATCTTTTCTTGGAATCATACTGAGGTGGGAAGCTGTCAGTGTTTTGGTTAAAGGTGTGTCATAATTTGCCACAATCTGGATGCCGAGGGAACATAGGTATCAGGGACATAAGGGCAGAAACAAAAGAGCTGTTTTCTTGGTCCTGAAATGTCAATGGGGTAGCCACAGAGAGGTGGAATGAACTACCCATATCTGTATGAGGGGATGTCCTTTCAAGGTAGCATGGACAGTCTTTGGGGACCAGTCCTCTGCGCTGCTCAAGCCTTCCAGCCTCTTGTGGAGTGCAGGCCTGGGATGTGAGGGTTTTCACAGTTGGTATGTTAACTGTCCACTCTCCTGACCCTCAGCTCTGCCTGGAATCTCTCAGTTTGCCACTCATTTTGGTAGCCCTTCCAGAGAACTGATCTGAATTATCTGTCAGAGCTCAGCAAAATTATCTATTTTTCATTTTTCCAGCTCCCAGCTATTGTTCCCTCTCTTCTTCTCTGTTGTTTCCTCTCTTCTTCTCTGTTTCCTCTCTTCTTCTCTGTTTCCTCTGTGCTCCTAGCTGTCCACCCCACCTTCTTCTTCGTGTTCGTGGCTCTATGCCACCAGCTTTTTTTTTTTTTTTAATTTTATTTTCAAGTTTAAATTTAGATAAGAAACAAGGTTGCTTCACAAGTCAGTTCCAGGTCCCTCTCCCATTCCCTCCCTTCCTCCCGTGCCCTCTCCCCCCCCCCCCCCCGTTATCCCCTCATTTCATTTCTCCAGGGAGGGTGAGGCCCTCCATGGGGGTGTGCATAGTGTGTCATTTCATATAGGGCAGGGCCTAGACCCTTCCCCAAGAGTTCACGGTGACAGTGCACCTCACATTGTTCTATGGGAGTCCAAAGTCCGTGTGTATACTTGGGATGGGTACTGATCTGCTGCCCAAGGCTCAATAGATTCCCTAGGCCTCTTCACTGACACCCAGATTCAGGGGGTCTTGATCAGTCCCATGCTGGATTCCCAGGCTAATGCCTGGGATTCAAGAGTTAACCTTTGTCTGGACAGCTGTTTCTGGGGGTTAAACCAGCCCAGTCTTAATCCCTTTGATCATCAGTCCTCCCTCTCTGTTACTGGCTTTCTTGAGTTCAGCTCAGTACTTAACCAAGGGAGTCTGCCTCTTCTTCGATCAGCCACTAAATAAAGTTTCTGTTTCCCAGACTCTCTGGCCATAGGATTGTAGGCTGGCACTCCCCAGATCTATGTCTAAAATCCATATATGAGAGAGTACATGCCATGTTTCTCTTTCTGTGACTGGGTTACCTCACTCAGGATGGTTTCTTCTAGTGTCATCCATTTGCCTGCGAATCTCATGATTCCATTATTTTTTTCTGCTGAATAGTACTCCATTGTGTAGATGTACCACATTTTCTCTATCCACTCTTCAGGTGAGGGACATCTAGGTTGCTTCCACGTTCTGGCAATTACAAATAAAGCTGCTATGAACATAGTGGAACAGACATCTTTGTTGTATGAATGGGCATCTTTTGGATATATGCCTAAGAGTGGAGTTGCTGGGTCTTGTGGTAGGTTTATTCCTATTTTTCTGAGGAATCTCAATACTGATTTCCAAAGTGGCTGAACCAGTTGGCACTCCCACCAGCAATGGAGGAGTGTCCCCCTTTCACCACATCCTCTCCAGCATAAATTGTCATTGGTGTTTTTGATTTTAGCCATTCTGACAGGGGTGAGATGGTATCTGAGAGTTGTTTTGATTTGCATTTCCCGGATGGCTAAGGATGTTGAGCACTTTCTCAAGTGCCTCTCAGCCATTTTAGACTCCTCTATTGAAAACTCTCTATTTAGTTCTGCAGCCCACTTTTTAATAGGGTCCTTTGGTGTTTTGGACACTTGCTTCTTGAGTTCTTTGTAAATTTTGGAGATCAACCCTCTGTCAGATGTGGAATTAGTGAATATTTTTTCCCATTCTGTGGGCTGCCTTTTTGTCTTGCTGACTGTGTCCTTTGCCTTACAGAAGCTTCTCAGTTTCAGTAGGTCCCATTTATTAATTGTTGATCTTACTGCCTGTGATACTGGTGCTATGTTCAGGAAGCTGTCTCCTGTACCAATTCGTTCAAGGGTACCACCCACTTTCTCTTCTAAGAGGTTCAGTGTGGCTGGATTTATGTTGAGGTCTTTGATCCATTTGGACTTAAGTTTTGTGCATGGCGATAGACATGGGTCGATCTGCATTCTTCTACATGCCAGTCTCCAATTATGCCAGCACCATTTGTTGAAGATGCTTTCTTTATTCCATTGTATATTTTTAGCTTCTTTGTCAAAGATCAGATGTTCGTACGTGTGTGGGTTAATACCCGGATTTTCAATTCGATTCCATTGGTCTACCTGTCTATTTTTGTGCCAATACCAAGCTGTTTTCAGGACTATAGCTCTAAATAGAGCTTGAGGTCAGGGATGGTGATGCCTCCGGACGTTGCCTTGTTGAACAGGGTTGTTTTGGCTATCCTGGGTCTTTTGTTTTTCCATACAAAATTGATTATTGTTCTTTCAAGGTCTGTGAAGAACTGTGCTGGGATTTTAATGGGGATTGCATTGAATCTGTAGATTGCTTTTGGCAGGATTGCCATTTTTACTACATTGATCCTACCTATCCAAGAGCATGGGAGGTCTTTCCATTTTCTGAGGGCTTCTTTAATTTCTTTCTTTAAAGATTCAAAGTTCTTACAATACAGGTCTTTCACTTGTTTGGTTAGCGTTACCCCAAGGTATTTTATGTTGTTTGTGGCAATTGTAAAGGGTGATGTTTCTCTGATTTCTCTTTTAGCCCTTTTATCATCTGTATATAGTAGGGCTACTGATTTTCTTGAGTTGATCTTGTAGCCTGCCACTTTGCTGAAGGTGTTAATCAGCTGTAAGAGTTCCCTGGTAGAGTTCTTTGGGTCATTGATGTAAACTATCATATCGTCTGCAAACAGTGAAAGTTTGACCTCTTCCTTCCCAATTTGTATCCCCTTGATCCCCCTTTGTTGTCGTATTATGCCACCAGCTTTAACTGAAGTTGCTGCTTGTCCTTCATGTGCAGTACATAACTAACTCAAGAAGGTACTTAAGCCTTTGTGTCTCATTTTTCCTCCCACTGTTTCCAAAGGGCCTCAAGTTTCCGGGGCTCCACAGCTTTGCACCAGATAAGCCTGGAGGAATAATGATGATGGATCTCAAAGAAGAAAAACCCAGGGCACTGGAATTAAGAGTCAGCTGGGGCTTCGATTTGGCTTCATTTAACCCGCATGGCATTAGCACTTTCATAGATGGTGGTAAGAGCTACCGAGTTGAAGGCATACACATGGAAAATAGCCTGGAAACACACACGCATGCATGCACATACACAAAGGGGACAAGGACTTCATGAAGCAAGCCTGTGATCTTCCTACCAGCCGTGTTCACGTGTCTCCTAAACTCGCAGTACATTGTGCTGCGTTCTGAAATGTCCAGCAGTTGACAACCATAAGAATGTTTAGATTTACTGACCTTCTCATATACCTGTGACTACTGGATTAATAATAACTGTATCTCTGAGCCCACAAACACATTATTCCTGAATTCTGTGTGTAGAATGCGGGACCACTCCTTCTTCAAGGTCAGGGGACCAGTGTTCAGAACTAATACCAGGCCAATTGTTGTCAGAAGGGCCAGCAAGGAAATGATCTGGTAGGGCACTGAACAGCTTGTGCCTTCAGCCTTCCCATGGCCGTGGTATGGAAGTGTCACTGGCTGCCCAGGGGCCCTGTGTGTATAAACTAACTCTACCCATTCCGTCTTTTAGATGACACAGTTTATCTCTTTGTTGTGAACCACCCGGAATTCAAGAACACAGTGGAAATTTTTAAGTTTGAAGAAGAAGAAAATTCTTTGTTGCATCTGAAGACAATTAAACACGAGCTCCTTCCAAGGTGCTTTTATTTTGTCCTCATTTGCCTGGTTGTCTGTGGCATGTCTATTCACGTGTGTGTGTGTGTGTGTGTGTGTGTGTGTGTGTGTGTGTGTGTGTGTGTTTACTAGGCCTTGGGTATCATTCAATAGGAGCCATCTACCTTGTTTTTGAGACAATCTTTCATTGGCCTGGAGTTTACCTAGTAAGTTCAACCTGGTGGTCTGGGAGCCCCAGGAATGCTGTCCCACCCACCCATCTGGGACTCTAAACATGTGCTACGACATCTGCCTTTCTTGCCATGGATTGTGAGGATTGATCTCGGGTCCGCATTCAAGCACGGCAGTCGCTTTGCTACCTTCTATCTTCTCAGAACCTATTGCTGACATTTTCAAACACTCTTTATTTTGGGTGATTCTCTCACCTTTGTAAGGGCTCCCTTATGTTAGGCGACACATAATATAAAGCCTAACATATGATAACTTATTGGGAGTTTATGAATATACATGTGTATTAAGCAGGTTACACATTTCCGAACTGAAATCCAATGTCTGGGATGCCCTATACTTTGGGTCTTTTTGAGCCATGATGCTATAGGCAGAAATTCCACACTATGAAATTTTCTTTCTTGTACATTGTTTTTTAAGTGTTGTGTGGTACCCCGTGCAAGATCTGCACAGTATCACACAGTCAGCATCCTAGTCTGGATGGGAAGGGATTCAAGAGACCCCATCCCTTGCTGAGAGTCTGTTGGCAGTTGGTCACTGGGGGAGGGAAGGTAATATTACTTAAGGGGTATGGCTCCTAATAGACTGATCATACACCGGAGGATGCTCCCACACCCTGGCATACAGACTCGCTGGCTCATTCGAATCATTGGACTCATTTTGTTTAAATAAGAGAGTATGAAATTTAAAGGGATACATGATGGGGATTGAGGTCCAAGAGGAGTTGGAAGGAGGAAGTAAGGGATAGATATAATCAAAATAAATTGTAAAAAATGTATGAAATTCTCAAAGAAACTAATATATATTATCATTTTGTAAAACTAATGTTTATGTGAAATGTAATGAATTTCATGTTTAGACTTGGCCTCATCCACAAAAGAGATCTTATTATGTTTCTGCAAAAAATCAAGAAATCAGAAATACTTCTAGTCTCCCAAGGATTTTTGGATAAAGGACACTCATCATCTCTGTTGTAGTCTGTCTCCATCTATCTCTATCTCTCTCTGTCTCATGTATGTGGGGGTGTGTATGTGGTGTGTGTGTGTGTGTGTGTGTGTGTGTGTGTGTGTCCATGTAGATAAGGGAAAGTATGGCTGATAACCATTTTTTATAATGATTAGTGTTCTGAGTGTCTGAGTGGACTCCCTTGAGAAATGATGAAACACCAGCCTTCAGGGTGACAATCTTCAGGCCCAGTTTGAGAACAGAAAATAAACCCTGCCACTTTTCATGGCTGTCACCTTCATCTCAAATAACTTAGCACTCAAATCCCTGTCCTTCCCTGGAGGAGTAGATTGTCTTCGGTGGGGCTCCCATGTTTTATACAAAGCACACTCAAGGGGCTCATGATAGCTGTGGGTTAATGTCCCTGCAGAATTGAGTATCCAAGTTGGAAGGGCACTATTACTACCAAAATGACACTGATGGAGAGTGTGACTAAAAGGGACTCATGGATTCCCTCCAGCTCAGCTTGCACTGGACTCCTGCTTGAGGTTTAAACTTGATAGATATTTTTTAATCTTTACATCTCTCTCTAGGCTATAAGCATGTAATGTCAAATCATTCTTCCCCAAAATGCACTTCATAATAAACAGGAGCATGAATACCAGTCAGGCAGAGTCTGAATTGTAGAGTGTTTTCAGGAAAAAAAAAAGCCTTCCTTGTAGCTCTGTATTTTTCATTTGACAGAGAAGAAAGCAGCTCTTTCAGAAATTTTTGCATAAGATAATTGGAATTTCAATTTAATAACACCCTCGCCTAGCTGGTTGGCAACGGTAATTGTTTTTAGCATATCAATCTCTCTCTTGAAGCACTGTTCTCCGACCATTTCATCATCTGTCTCTCTACAAGTGTTTATTGAATGTCTGCTCATTGCTGGCTTGGCAGCTTTGCGAGGCAGGTAGAAATTGAACAGTCAACCTTAGTTTGACTAATGACTAAGCAAGGGACCTCAGGAAAGTCCAGCAGCAGAATAAATGAGGGTGGGGTAAATGTGACTGACAGCCTAATGACAGACAGGGCCTGTCCAGTTCCACACCTGAGCAGCTCTGTCTTTATAGACAGTTGTTAAAGCCTGTAATGTTCGTGTCAGAAAACACGCTTTTTGCTGGGCATGATGGCACACACCTGTAATACCAGGACTGGAGTGGTAGAGGAAATCAGGAATTCAAGGCTGTTTTTAGCTACACGGTGAGTTCCAAGTCAGTCTGGCCTACCGGGGACGCTGTGTCAAAAATGGTAATAATAAAATAATGCTTTTTTTCTTTTGAGTCAGGGTCTCACTGTGTAACTCTGGTTGAGTTTGAACTCACTCTCCTTCCTCTTCCACTTCCCACGTGCTGGGATTATGTGTGTGCACCTGGCTGGATAGCTTTCTCTCTGTAAAGGGTTCTACAATGGTTGCCTTGTGCTGTATGATATTGTTCTCTTGCAGTTGTCACCATAGTGCATTGTCTGTGGTTCTGGATCACGTCATCTGAACCAGTCATGTGATTATAGCTTCACTTTCCTTGGAAAACCCTTCCCCACATTCTGAACCTCTGCTGTGTAAAGCTCGTGAACAGTCATCCCATCTTGTACAAGGACATAATCAGGCTTCTAATTTCCTCTCCCATGCTATTTTTCTCTTTCAGTGTGAATGACATCATAGCTGTTGGGCCAGCCCACTTCTATGCCACCAATGACCACTATTTCTCAGATCCTTTCCTAAAGTATTTGGAGACGTACTTGAACCTACGCTGGGCAAACGTTGTTTACTACAGTCCAGATGAAGTTAAGCTGGTGGCAGAAGGATTCGATTCAGCCAATGGAATCAATATTTCACCTGACAAAAAGTACAACTCCTTCCATAGCACCTTCACTTCTCCTAAATAAATTGTCCTGAGAAGCAAATCCCTTAGCTTCCAATATATCCCTTTTAACTTTATGTGGAGCATTATAGTTTGCATATCAAATAATACTATAGTAGAATTACTTGATGTTTTAAATATAAGACAAAAGGAAAGTTTTTAGGTTTTAAAACTCCTTCCAAAGAAAATTTTAAGTTAGTTAATTGATGTCATTCTATTGACTATATTGTTCTATCATAAGAATCATTCTAAACTTGTTTAACTATTTCCTTGTTAATGGATATGCGCTTATTTATTTTCTATATATAAAACTATCTTTGCTTCTCATTTAGCACCATAATCAATAAAACCAATTACTATTTTAAAGTAAAAACTCCCTAAGACAGTATTAAAACATAATAGTTAGACTTGAGGATTTGGACTTCTATAGTTCTGGGTTCAAATCCCAGGTAAGATACCAATTACTTTATGGTGAGTATCGCCTACTTGAATACTTGAACACAATTTCTGTAGAATGAACTCCTATGAGTACAGACCTCCTGTTAATCTTTTCAGTGTTCGTCTTAATAATAAGTATTGCTGAATTGCGTCCCAAAACCTCTCTTCTTAATTTTATTCTTAGTTTTCCTTTGCCTAAGTGCACTGAACAGTTTAAACGACCACAAGGAATTTGACAGCACTTGACAATTAGATGTTCTTGTTGTGTGATGCAATTTGTCTTTTCCATTTTAGTCAGAAAGCAAAAATAGATCATTCAAACCGCCTCTCACTAGCCCACTCTGCCCTTTGCAGTCAAGTCTGCGTTTTTCCCATTCCTAGCATTTCTGTGATCATTGCAGTTCACCGTCAACCTTCCTCCAGCTCTTGTACTCTGGCCACTGTGGTCCTCCTGGGGTCAGTTAGCCCATCCTCAGGTCTGGCTGCAAGTGTCCACCACAGCACCAGTCGGAAAGGACATACTCTGTCACTGGTTGACTCAGCTGTCACTTTGTCATCAAGTTACTTCTGTCTTAAGCATGAAGTAGAAAGCCAGGCAGTGGTGGTGCATGCCTTTAATCCCAGCACTCGGGTGGTAGAGGCCGGCGGATCTCTGTGAGTTCAAGGCCAGCCTGGTCTACAGAGCTCCACAGACAAACCCTGTCTCCCTGAAGAGAAAAAAACAAACAAAAGCATGCAGTGCAATCCAGGTGCTGTCAGACCAAGGGAGGAAAGGTCTGGACTTGCTGTAATGAGTAGGTCACCCTCCCTCTGTTTCCACACCTCCCACAAGACAATGAGTACTTTTTGTTGCTGACACCCCTTTTCCTTGGCTCGCTTGCTTTCAGAAAGGGCTCCATCCACCTGCTCTGGTAGCAGAGACCCTTCCTTTGAGGGTCTTTCAGTACCCTGACATTTCTTCAGTCCCATGGTACTGGGACTTTATTGACTTGGGTGTTTCATGTACACAAACCAGTTTGAACTAGTGAACGTGTTAGAAATGTTTGAAGAGCAAAAATGTGACCCTTCCCTGTGTATATGTTACCCAGTCAGGGATTCTGGTCTCATGCAGGAAGACTGCTCAGTAAGACAGCTACCATGGAATACTGGATTTCAATTTCACGGGTTAACCTCATTCACTGCCCCTTAGATATAGACATGCAGTTCTGAATAAATACTTATCTTAATATTAAAATGTTGTGAGTATTAACATTTAATTAAACATTAATACATATTAATGCGTATTTAAAGTAGTCCGTGACATTTAATTCTATATGTCCATGTTAGAGATATTAAAATGTATGGCATTTTTCTTATAAAACCAAACGTTTTTTGTTATTTCGATGGCAAATATTGTGAACTTCACATTCAATTGATATTTTTCTTACAAACCTTTTAAAAACTAATTTGATGCCCATGATTATTGTAGCACCACTGAACTGATTTTGAAGGTTTTTTTTAAAATAAAAGTTGACCTTTATCAAGCATTCTTCCGGTGCTTCCCTATGAGCTCTTTAGCCAGTTTCAGAACTTTCTCTTTCCTGCTGTATGAAGACATCTCTGTTGGCAGAAAGTGCTAACCCGTGTCTTTTCTAAACAGGTATGTCTACGTTGCTGATATACTAGCTCATGAAATCCATGTTTTGGAAAAACAACCTAATATGAATTTAACTCAATTGAAGGTAAATATTTAGTTTTACATGTAGATGCCAACTGATTGTTCTTTGCAGTATTCTAGCTTGGATAACTCTAACAATATCACACTGGAAACACAGCATGGGTACAGACAGGGCAGCCATGTATGTTCTTCAGCATACCCTCCCCCAGCAAGAGGAATCTGTTGTCAGCTGCCACTAGGTAGGACAGTGATTGCAACCAGCAGTGGATTGAGGGATATTGGCATCAGGTTCAGAACTGTTTCATGAGGTATTGGCGATATCTAATGAATCCCAATAAGACTTTTCACAATTGAAAAGAAATAGTTGAGTTTTCAGATGAAGATTCATGCACATTCAGTTTTTCCAATAATAAATGAAAGTAGAAATTGAACTGCCCACCATTATTATTTTCTGTCTGCTGACAAACACATATTTTGAGTTGATTAAGAATTTCCCGTCTTGCTTTGATGGATTTCCTTAAGCTATCTGATCACTGTGTATTTTTTGAAACAAAAGGAGTTCACTATTTTTAGTATTCAGACAGATGGGTTATCACCCTAGGTTTTTATTTTCGGAGAAAATGAAGAATGGCTCCAAGCCAGCTTCTTAAATTTATTTTCAGCAACATCGGTGTTAGAAGGGCAGGTGTAGGGAGATATGTGTAATGCCCCACATGCATAGAAACAGGAAAGGTTAGCTCTAAATTATTTAACCAGGTTGCTTGCATCACTTAGATATTGACATTATTTCTTTGTAAGGTGCTGCAGTTGGGCACGCTGGTGGACAATTTATCTATTGATCCTTCCTCGGGTGACATCTGGGTTGGCTGTCACCCTAATGGCCAGAAACTCTTCGTGTATGACCCGAACCATCCTCCATCGTCAGAGGTTTTTATATTTTGAGTTTTTCAACCTTAATTATTCAAGTCTTCTGAACTAATAATGCAATAAACTGTCATCAGGATGATTTGTTAGTTCTTTTAAACTAATAATACAATAAACCTGGGAACCTGGGAGGTAGTTTTGTAATTGCTTTAAGCCAATAATTGGCAGAATGTTGCATTGTTCAAATGCTTTGAGAAAAGTAATCTTTTGATGAATTAAATTATGGTGGAAACTAGTCAAAAGTCATTTTTATAAAGACATGGGTCCTGTTCATGTGGTATAATGGCAATTTAAAAATATCTGGATTATTGTCAACTCACCACATGACATGAGTTTTGTGCATTCTGAAGTAGTGTCAAAGTGGGCACAGTGGTGAGAGCCTATTTCTATTAATGCTGAATTGCTATAATCACACAAAATCCTGTGGTGGCATGGTATGACTGTGTACTTTAAAAGTCCTTTCTTTGAAGGCTGGAGAAAGTACATTAAATTAAGCATCAAGGAGATTGGTAACTGCTGTTTGCAGCAGCATGCCTTCTTAATCGTGTGTCTTTGGGGAAGACAAGGGATTATTTGTGCTTGAGTGGCATGGGTGTGTGGGATTCTCTATTAATACTTTGTATCTCCTGGGTAGGTTCTTCGCATCCAGAACATTCTATCCGAGAAGCCATCAGTAACTACAGTGTATATCAACAATGGGTCTGTCCTCCAGGGAAGTTCCGTGGCGACCATCTATGACAGGAAACTTCTTGTAGGCACTTTATACCAGAGAGCCTTGTACTGTGAACTCTAAGGTGTATTTTTGGTATGCAAGCGCAATAAGTTGTAACAAAAATAATCTTTTGATGAATTGCTAATTCTGAGGGAATTTAACCGTCAGTACTGACCAGGAATATACCACAAACAGCTAATTTTATTTCATTAAGGAAAGGCCCACAATTCTGATGCACTTTTAGCATCAAAAGAAAATGAACTTTACTATTGGCATTTTTGTTTTAATGCCAGTCCAGGGAGAAAGATGAAAGCTGCTTTTGGATAAAGTGAATGCATTTTGCACAGATGGGTTTCACCTTTGTGCCCCACCATGAGGGAGGCCACTGAAACAGGGCGAGTCATCAAAGTGTCAGCGTCCTGGGTCCCCATGCTGTGACCACTGTGTGTGTTTAGAACTACTGATAGCCAACATTTTGATGTTCTGTACTTACAACTTTGTCTACTGTTTTACAAGTTAGAAGTATATTAAAGACTAACCACAACCCAAGTTTTTGTTTGTGTTTGATTCTTGAAGCGGATTCTCAGGAGAATGGGAAAGAAGTGACTTTTAGGAAATTGGATTGGACAAGAATGGCCATGCTAACCTCTCATGAAAGCTCAATGTAAAGGGGCTCCTTATTGGAAAAAATAAAACAACTGAATACTGTAGCTCAAATTTTTATTTATTTACCTTTTATTTGAAACACAATTTCATTACATAGGTCTGGCTGACATGGACACTGTTGTGTAGATCAAGGTGGTCTCATACAGAAGCCACGGCCAGCCTTCAAATATTCAATTCTTAAGGCATCTCCTTTAGGGTCTTTTCCTAAATAGGAGCCCACTTAAGATACAAAGAAGAGGTAAAGGCTTGAGGTTGGCATCTTACCTACTCAGTAAACTTAACTATGACCGGAAGCCAGGAGAGGTGTCCAAGCCTGCCTGACTAGGTAACACTACACTATGTCAGAGTTAATGGTGACAAAATCACAGGAGGAGCATTTTTCCCTTCTAGCTCCAAGAAGAGTCCTAAAGGGAGACTTTAATGTGTATCTTTCTGTTGTCACTTATGTTTTCTTATTAATTTTTTATTATAAAGGACTTGCACATAAATCACCACTGTCATTTATCAAAGACTTTTGTTTCACTTTTCCATATTCCTCATTAACATTAAGATACCTGTCAGTTAGTTATCAAATGTCCAACAATTGGGAAGTACTCTCCCATTATTTCACTTAATCTTAATTGCAGCCTGGAGGGAATAGATGTCAATATTGTATTGTTGTTAGCATTTCACAGTCAGTCAAGGTCACACACTTCCTAAGGGTGAATATCAATCTGTTTCTAATGCCAAACCCTGTGCCATTAGCAATTATATGAAGCTACTACCCTAGAACCAAAGGTTCAGTTACCCATCCCCTATTATATATCCTGTGTTCTGATGTGGATTCTCTTCAAAGGTACCAATTTGAGTTCTGTTTTTTGTTAAATGATTTAATGGCTTTAGAACGGAAATTACAGAAGTATTCTTAAACTTGGGCTCTGGTTCATTTAGTCTGTTTTGTATTTATATTTGTTATTTATTATTTTCAATTTTCAATTTATTCCGATAATGAACTGGGAATATATTTCAGGCCAAGGAAATTAATGGTTCTTGCTGCTTTCATTATCCATGGGGGAAATATTCACAGATGAATAAGGCAAGATTAAATATTGTTTTCCTAAGGACACAACCTAAGAAAGGAATGTTTTTGATTTTAGGAGATGTTAACAATGGCTATCTATCTATAAAGACACATTCATAAAAAATACAAGGGTATAATAGGTATTAAGTAAAATTGCTTTCCAATTCACTAATTCAAAATTTCATTTGTGGAAACAGAGTGGATATACATTAATAACCATGTGCCTTGTTTATCCCAGGCATACAAGAAAGGTTTTAATAAATCCTGATTTGGGTTATCAATGGGTATGAGAGATTGTTTTATCAAACTGTAAATATAATGTGTATTAATTTATGGTGAACTTTTTATGACCATATACTGAGGGGAACGTTTTGGTGATTAAGTCATCATTGTCCAAAACCAAAACAACAGAAACTACAGTTGTGATTTGGCACTACTAGGGGATACATTTGGGGCTCTCTCTCTCTCTCTCTCTCTCTCTCTCTCTCTGTCTCTGTCTCTCTCTCTGTATGTGTGTGTGTGTGTGTGTGTAGGGGTGGATTCCAACTCAGAAACTCTTGCAAACACTCTGATCCACCCAACCATTTCTTCAGCCTTTCCTTTTACTTTTCTTTTGTTTAAAAGAAACCTCAGCTCTTTTATGATGCATGAGTACTTACTATGAGGAACAAGGACAATTAAATCAGCTGTATAGTAAGTATTATCTTCATTATTTTTGGCATGGGTTATTCATTCCTGACAACTTATCTGAAGATGATCCTTTCACTAAGTTTTAAGCATTCAAAGTCTTGAGAGGGTAGAATGCAAGGGAAATGCCATCACTCCCCTCAAATCCTCCAGCTTCACTTAAAACAAAAGCAAAACCCAGATCTCACCAGATTATCTAGCCCCAGCCTGGCTTTGGACATTTGATCTTCCTGTCCTACCCTCTTGAGTTTTCAACTGATTTCTCCATGTAGATGCTACTAGTTACTAATATTGAAAGCTGTGCAATTGCATATTGGTCTTCTAGCAATACTTTTGTAGCGACAACTTTGATGAATTGGTAATAAAAATGGTTGTCCTAATTACTTTTCTGGGAGTTGAACTCCAAGTCTTCAGAACTTTTGGCATAGGGGGCCATACAGTCTACCCCGAGATCCTGTTAAAGGCTGCATGTTCTTGTGTTCCATGAAGGGTCATGAAGACACATACGTGTGCATTGACTATCAATGATCTTAATTCCAAGTAGCTTTCGTCTGCTTCTTTATACCCTAAGCATCCTTATGCCCTATTCTCAGAAAGGTGGGTTCAAGACCTGTGTCGGTCTTTTCCTTGTCTGGCTAGCTTAAGAACAAACTCTTGAAAGCCTTGGGCAATTGGCACACTAGGTGCTGGGCAACATGAACTTTTCCTGGTACCAAGATATCTCTTGAGAAAGAACTAATGTCATAACATTTTTCCCAAACCAGGTCTTACTGCAAGAGCAGTAAGTGTCCTCTGCCACTGCTGAGTCATCTGCCCATCACCCAATATTTTGCATAGGCATCCTATATGTCAAGGGCTACCTTCTTCTTGACATCCTTAGCCCTATGAAAGAAATCTTCACATTCAAGAAAATTGCTCTTTTTTGTTGTTTTACTGAATGCTGCTGCTACTAGATCTTGTAAGTAAATAAAAAATAGATGATACTTGAAGGTGCAATGTTCCCTAAACTGCTGAAGTGTCCTGCAACCTTCAGACTCCCCAGCGGTATTTTTGGTCTGAGTGAACTCTGCAGTCTTCACCACAAAGACCTGCAGTCCACAGAAAAGAATAGCAAGAATCTCCCACGGAAACTATGCCCCTTTAATTGTATTCGGCTCATCCTGCAGTCCCTAAACAGGTGGACTCGGACTCTTGCCATGTCCAGTACCCTGAAGGCACCATGAAGGTCTGGAGTCAAATTCCAGAGCTCTGATGTCTGGAGAAGGATGAGTCAAGGATCTTGGTTTTCAGGATTTTCTACCCATTTAGGGGGTTGCAGGAGCGATTTCCGGATTCCCAGGCAGCTCTCTCCACCTTCCTCCCCTGGTGGAGTTGAAGTTAATTATGTTCTGTAGCTTTAAGAAACAAACTCTCTTCACCCTGAAAGGACTCCAACTGTGAGTTTCAAAAAGGAGTGGCCTAGAGCTCAGCTGACCTTAGCTAGAGGTAACCAGCTCCTGATCCGTGACTAGAGTGTTGGAGTTCTAAATCCCAGGCAGAAAAGTGTCCTTGAACTCTGAGCACTGATAGGTAGCCTTGGAATGCGCGCCTTAAAGTGGCCTTGAATCAGAGAGCAAAGGTGCCTTTGAACCTCACCGGCAAAAGTGGTCTTGAATCCCAAGAGCAAAAATTTTCTAGAAACTCAAGCGGAGAAGTGGCTTTGAGCCTTGGAGCAGGAGAGAGCAAAAACTCCAGGACTGCTGCCTGCTGCCTGGAACAGGACCCATGTACCTGCCAGGAAGAGCAAGCGGGCGGGGCACAGGGGACTGATTAGTGGGTGGGGCCACAGAGTGTCCTCCTCCACCAGCCCTCGGGAGCAGCACTAGGCAGAGGCTTGCTCTTCGCCGCTAGGCACCCAAACGTCATGGGGAAGCTAGTGTTGCTGACCGTGCTGGGGGCCAGCTTGGCCTTAATAGGGGAGAGGCTTCTGACGTTTAGGTGAGTGGACACCTCCATGGAGATGTCCTCCGCTCTTTTTTTCCTTTCTGGTCCAAGTTTCGCTAAGGACAACCCACTCTTCCAACTTCTTAATGGGTGGGAAGCAGCTGTGCCACCCACTCAACTTCCCCTTGAGAATCACTCATTAGGAAAGGGGATGGCTGCTTGCCTTTCTAGGCTGCCAAGGTGGGAAAGCCCACGTTTGATTTCTGAAGGTTAGGTACCTTTTCCAGGTCTTCTGAAACCTTGCCCTTGTGAAATACTAAAGCCCTTTAGAAGTGCTGAACTTGGGGGAGGGGACCATACTAGCAGCTGGATATTTATAGCTGACTCAGGCACTGAGAGGGCTGGGTTCTGGAACCTGTGCCACACTGGAGAATGAATCAGGAATCGGGAAGAAAGCTGAACCCTGCAGAGGCAACTGGCTTGGAGGGTGGTTGACATTCTGAAGTAGAAGATTCTGCAGGGACAGCCACCCCAGAATTTGTCTCAAGCAAAGTCAGTTTGGTCTGAAAGAACTTTTTTTAAAAAAGTTTTTAAAGCCTTATTCCTAGGTGAGGCTAAGGCCTCTGCTTGTCATCCTGTTGATACTCTTTCTGTAGGGAAAAGCTGGTCTCAGTTCATTTCTGCAATCTGTTCGGATACCTGATGTCTGTTGGCAACACTTTCTAGTCCAGCTCCGGGACTGCTTATTGCTACACTTGCTCCCCAAACAACAAGCGACAGAATTGTCAGATAGTAAATTGAGGGGTCAGCCATATGCCCACCTGCGTCTGGTACAGCTCGGGGGATGAACACAGCCTCCACAGAGACACACCTAAAGAGTGCTTCTTAAAAGTGATCGAAAGATAAATCCAACTTCAGTCTTCTTGACTACAGTTTAGCCAATATTTTACGTGATACCTAATATTTAGAAGGATGCTTTCACTGCAGAAATAAGACCACTGCTGAAAAGCAGGTTGGCTAATAGCTATCGTGGTGGTCAGGTCCACGAATGAACATACACGTTTTAAGGTAAGTCAGCATAAGCTTAGCTGAAAAGAACACAGTTAGAACTTCTTGGAGACCTCACAGAAATGTGGATATTTGTCCCCCTGCTAGAGGAAGAAGGTCAAAGGAAACAAGAGGAGATGAAAGGGAGAGAGTGCAGATTTATAAT